GCGCCCGTTTAATATTTGAAATGCATTCGCTTTTATTATTTGACAGTACAACTCACGCGCTGGGTTGAAAAGCGGTGATTGATTTTCTCAGCTATTTAATATAATAAAAATACTAAAAAATAAAATTTATTTTCCTTTTTTAATTAAATATTATGTTTATTTTTAAATTTTCAAGTGCACTGTGACTCACCCAAAAACAAAACCCTAGAAATTTAGAAATTACAAATTTGGCTAAAATGCACCACCAAATCTGTTACCGTTAACTGCACGTCGGTGCATTTTAGCACAACCTCCAAATTCCAAAAGGTTGCATCTTTTATTTATCCACTTCTTTGCTTTGCTTCGGTTCTTCTTCTTCTTCTTTTTATTATTTTTAAAAGCTCTCTTTTTTTATTTCTGCTGTAGTTTTTCCTTTACTTATATATATATAATCTTTTTTTTTCTAATAATGATGGCAATGATTTCTTTCCCCTGATACTTTACCCATTTCTCTGTCTGTCGTTTTTCTCTGTTTTTCTGTGCTCTTCCTTTTGGGTGTTTGCTTTGAGATTTTCTTTACCATTCTTTGTTCAATTTCTAGCTGGAAAGAAGAAGGGTTGTTGAAAAGCCAAGCAAATTTGATAGAGATATGAAGATGGGCTCTTTGGTGGCGGAGAAGTGCCTTTTGGGTACTCAGATCTGATGGAACAGAGGTTGTTTCAAGAATGTGTCCTGTTTTCTTCCTCTGTTTTTGAGTTCATTCTACAATCAACACCCACTTGACTCAACAAGTGTTTGAGGAATTTCTGTTTGGGTCTCGAGAAATTTGGGGAATTTCTTGAGCGGTGGAATCGAAATCTGTAGAAGAGAAAAGAAAAGAAAGATGTTGGCTGTTGGTAGCCCTTTTACCAGTCTTCACACGAGCTCTAGTTGTAATGCTTTGCTCAGGGAACTTCAGGTCGGTCTCTTTTTCTTTTTACTGCCTTCTTTTCTCTCCCACTTTTCATTCTTTTGTTTCTAAATCTGCTTCAACAATGATGGGTTTGTGAGATTCTCAGTGAAGGGCTCATGATGGGTTCTTTGGCGGCGCTATGAGCTACCTGCTGCTAGCGCTAATCAATCTTTTAGAAACATGAGAGACTGATTTTGTACTTTTTTGAAAATTTTTCTTTTTGGGGTCTTCTCCCTCTCTGTTTCTCTTGTTTTGCTTTGTCCTAAATTTCTCTGTTTCAGTTCTTGAGCTGGTTGGGAGGTAGTAGTTCGATGTATTTATGTTTGTAATTCACCTCAATTCTTATGAGTGCAGCAAATATGGAACGACATTGGCGAGAGTGAAGCTGACAAAGACCGCATGCTCCTAGAATTGGAGATGGAATGCTTAGAAGTGTACCGGAGAAAGGTGGAGGAAGCTGCAAATGCCAAGGCGCGGCTCCATCAATCCGTTGCGTTGAAGGAGGCCGAGGTTGCAACATTGATGGCTGCTCTCGGTGAACTATCTTCTCCGGTAAAGATTTTTGTTCCTCATAGCTTGGAGCACATTTAAGTTTGAGTCCTAGTGATTGTTCTTAGTTTGTTGATGACCGTTTTGGTGGCAGAGTCAAATTGAGAAGAGGTCCAAAACATTGAAAGAAAAGCTTGCTTCTGTCACTCCCTTAGTAGAAGAATTGATGAAGAAGAAAGAAGAGCGTTTGAAACAATTTGCTGATATAAAAGCCCAAATCGAGAAGTTCAGCGTCGAGATCTCGGGGTATAGCAACCATCTTAATGATCACATGAACATCAGTACTTTAAGCTTGGAAGAAACAGACCTGTCTTTGAGAAAGCTTAATGAGTATCAAACACATATTTGCACCTTACAAAAGGAGAAGGTTTGGATATAGAAACTTAAAGATATAATATGATTGAGGGTACTGTCATAGTTTTGAATTGTTTGCATTTGTCATGAAATTCTTTGCAGTCTGATCGACTTCATAAGGTTTTGGAACATGTTAGTGAGGTCCATTCTCTCTGTGGAGTCCTTGGTTTGGATTTCAGCCAGACCGTTAGCGAGGTGCATCCGAGCTTAGAAAGAACGAGCGTCGAACAAGCTACAAATATCAGCAATAGAACATTGGAAGGCTTAGAACACACCATTCTTACATTGAAAACAGAAAGGAAAACTCGAATCCAAAAGGTAAAACTCGTGCACGTCGTCGCTCGAGATTTTTTGTCATGTTTTTTCAACTAAGTTTATAACTTGCTTCAACCCTGCAGTTGAAGGACATTTTAACATCATTATTTGAGCTTTGGAATTTGATGGATTCTTCACATGATGAAAAGCGTAAATTTTCGCGGATTACTTCCATCATGCGTGTATCCGAAACAGAAGTCACCGAACCGGGTCTTCTCTCCACAGAGACAATTGAACAGGTTTGAAACATTCTCAAATATGATTTTCATGGCGACTTCGAAACGAAAATTCTCATATTTTGATGTCTCTAGGCATCAGCAGAAGTTGAGAGGTTAACTCAACTAAAAGCGGGTCGAATGAAACAACTCGTACTGAAGAGGAGGTCTGAGTTAGAGGAGATTTGTAGAATGGCTCACATTGAAGCAGATCCTAGCACAGCTCCAGAGAAATCAAATGCTTTGATAGATTCAGGTAATCAAATCCTACATTGTTCATCAATCGATTTCTCGATCACGTCGTCAGGCGAGATAGAAACTTGGTTAATGTACATGCCTTTTGTGTTACAGGACTGCTAGATCCTTCTGAGCTCCTTGCAAACATTGAAGTGCAAATCGTCAAAGTGAAGGAAGAAGCCACCAGCAGAAAAGAAGTAATGGATAGAGTAGACCGTTGGCTATCAGCATGTGAGGAAGAAAAATGGCTTGAAGAGTATAATCAAGTAAGCTGAGTATTTTGGTTTGGTTTTGCCTGCAACATCAGAAAGATGTCGATTACTTTACGAACTCTTCTTCTTGATTTGCTTATCTTCGAATGTGATTATTTATGCTTGCTCTGTTGCACTAACATCTTGTCATTCGAGTCGCAGGACGAGAATCGTTACAATGCAGGGAGAGGTTCACATGTTAATCTGAAACGAGCAGAGCGAGCGAGAGTGACTGTTAGCAAAATCCCAGGTATTTTACCCAGGAAGTAATTTATCTTCATATCAGGATGAACAATTAGTGGAACATTCTGTCCTTAAACTTAGTTGGGTTGATCAATTTTAACAATCAAGTGGTGTTTGTTTTCAGCTATTGTTGATAATCTGATAAACAGAACTTTGGCCTGGGAAGATGAAAGGAAGACAATGTTTCTGTATGATGGGGTAAGAATTAACCATCTGTTTCTTTTGGCATCTGCTGCATAATTTGCATTGGAAAGCTCATTAGTTCATCTTCTTTCAGGCGAGATTGGTGGCTATACTTGAAGACTATAAATTAAGTAGACAGCAGAGAGAAGAGGAGAAGAGGAGACACAGGGTGGGTACTTTTATTTATGTTTTTTTTTTTTTTTTAACTATCAGGTTAGTTCTCTCTTTACTCTCATTTCCTGAAAAGAAAGTGTTCCATTCTCAGGATCAAAAGAAACTCCAAGATATGCTTCTCACTGAGAAGGAAGCAATGTACGGATCTAAACCCAGTCCTCGGAGGAGCAACAGCTTTAGGAAGACGAATGGATATCGAGCGAATGGGAATGGATCGATGACACCCACACCTCGTCGAAACTCTGTTGGTGGAGCGACCCCAGAGATCTTGACTCCTAGATCATATTCGGGTCGCCAAAATGGATACTTCAAAGAAATGAGGAGGTTGTCTACTACACCATTGAACTTTGTGGCAATGTCCAGGGATGATACAATGTCATATGCTTCCATTTATGAAGGATCTGACACAGGTTCCCCTCCCCAGAGTTAAATCTCAATGCATCATGGTATGTTATACTCACTGCTCATTTCTTTTGTTTTAATGCTTTTCATATATATATATTTTTTTTTTAACGTTTCAAGAAGGATAAAACATTTCTTTTCATTTCCAATTTCGCTCTATTTGTGAATGAATTTAGCTTTTAACCAGGAGCTCGTATATCATCTCTGCAGGAAGGATGTACCGGTCACAAACTGGATATTCGTATAGATGAATCAGCAACCTTGTGAATATGAAACAAATTATAAACTGATAGAACGACTCGAAGGAAGGATTGCGACTAACAGGTCTAGAAGAAGGCTTAAAAGACGGTGTTTTAGTAAGCAGCCAGCCCCGTATGTTATAAAATAGGTAGGGACAATAACAGATAAGTAGCTCAAAACCATGCATCTAATGTCTTGTATGTTGAAGAAATAGAAAGATTGATATAATAGGGATTGCGACCACAATGTTCTGTGGATTTTGTTAGTGTTTCATGAGTTCGGTATATATTTATCTCCCTCAAACAAAAACAACCATTTGTTTTAGATTGTTTTATCTTTTGGAGATGCATAATAATTCAGGTGCGTTTTAGTCATGCTGCTCTGGTCGATCCCCCTCCCTCGAACATAAGTCAGGACTTGACATGCTCTGTTCCATTTCTACCGATTGCCCCAGACAGGTGCAATCGCAGATAATCAATGGGAAACTACCTTATCTAACAAAGCTCATGATAATGCGAGCTTGCTTGGTCAGGGAGAAAGACACAGGTCTAGGAGGACACTTCAACTTTGCTTCTACGGGAGGATATGTAACAGCCAATATCCAAATCAAGAAAAAGCAAACCAATAACTTCACTCCAGATAACTTAAAGCTTGTTCAACAATTTCTTGGGTTCTGATAAAGCAATTCCAAAAGATCTAAAATGAAATCACCCAATTGTTGATTTGAGAGTTTTCAGAACATTGATAACTTAAAGATGTTGGTTCTGTGTTCTTCCTTAGCCCTCCCCTCCTTCACTAATCGTCAACAAGGAGGGGAAAGTGACACAAGCTCCAATAATAGCTAGGAAGATCTGATACTAATTTTCAACATGGAACAAAGAATATGAAATACTTTCAAAAGGAATCTCAAATAAATGGAATTTCATCCAGATAAATTCCTTGGTTTGCTCGCACGTATCACATAAGCTAAGGGAAAATAAATAAAAGAACTTCAGTGTCCAAATATTGTAAACAATTATGACATGTTAATAAAATTCATGAACTACAAACTACCAGAGCTCTGCAGAAGTATACACAATTCAAGCAGACGACGTAACCATGAACTTACCAACAGAATTAGTCTCTACCTGATTGTGACGAACTTATTGGTACCATGTCTCGCCCAGTGAGTCCTCAAATCGATTGGGTTCGCAAAATTATAGCCATCAGCTGCTAGTTTCTCGAGTACCTTCTTAAACGCACCCTGACTCATTTTTCTCCCAGCTATCCTCGCACCACGTCTTTTGTCACTCATGGGCAAAGGATAAGTTGATATATTGGTAGTGCAACAAGCAGACTGCCAACCACCACATCCCCATCTGTAACATTGATGAGGAGCTCCAGTGCAGGAGCAGACAGGGATTGGAATACCTGAAATGTCCATATCAATCCCATTTATAACAAGATCAATGTTCTTCTTTGGTGGTTTCACACGCTGCACAGCAGCAGTGCTAGTATCTTTTGGTTTCCTCGGTTTTTTAGCTTTGGGGGTTTTGGGGCCAGCCTCATTACTCTGTCTTTTCTTTGCTTTCCCACCTTCCTTCTTCACTGGAGGCTCTTCAACTCTACTTCCTGCCATTTCATCTCTAGAAGAAGAGGGTGGTTGCAAGATCTGCAAGGAGTGAGCTCCTGAAGTCTCTGGAATAACAGGGTAATTGTGATTGGCAGGTAACATATTAAGAAACCTATCTCTGGGGTTACCTCCCCAATTGTCCCTCACATAGTTCATATGTACCGGTGCTTCAGAAACGACGCAATCCCGAGGATGAAACGATCCATTAGCATTAACCATAACAGAAGGATCACGGCCTGGTAAGTAGTGTTTTATATCCCGCTCAGACATAGTGGACATGAGCTGCAGGCCAAGATGACCTTTGAAGGACGGCTCATAATATCCCCAATTGCGCATGTTCAATGCATCATCATCCATGAGAACTACATGTCAAACATAACATCAATAAGAGAAAAGTCCTCAGGTTTTGAACCTTCCCAATAACAGTATTTGGATGGCGATTGTTGAACCACATCGTAATAATGGCTTTGAAATGAAGACAAACAAAACAAAGAAAAATAGACACAAAACTGGAAGGGAAAGGAAAAGGAGAAGTAACAGGACAAGTAAAGAGAAAGGGAACGATGAAAAATTGGTATGGAAAGATCTAGAACACTAATTTTGTAGATCGATCTTGTTTCTAGATATTTGGTGATTAAATAGGATTCCAGATCTATCATTCAATTCAACAGAGACGACGAGAGAAAAAAAATTACAATCAAGAAAGTTAGGGTTCGGATCTCATTTCCAAGGTCCTGAACACGAATATTCGAAGATTACAACCAATTAAAGAAAACAAAGACTTGTTCTCATTGACAACATGGGAAGCAAAACAGAAGCCCTAAACAGAGATCCAGAACAGTGAAAAAAAAACCGTGGAAGTAAAGAAAACATCAGATCTCAGACATCCATGATGCAGAAATCGGAAGAAATTAGGGTTTCGAAAGCAGGCAAATCTCAAAAACCACAGATCTGAACAAAATAATAGAATAGAAATCTGGTATTCAGAAAAACAAAAGAAGAAGCAAATGCATATTTATATTGGTTTGCAGATAACAAGCGTAATAGTACAAGAAGGACCCTTATATTCAAACTCGAGAGAAATAGGAGGGGAGAGAGAGGGGGAGAGAGAGAGAGGGGGAGAGAGAGAGAGGGGGAGAGAGAGAGAGAGCTTACTTGGGTGGGTGTAAACGGTTCTTTAGGGTTTTGCCCTTCTGGAGAGAGGAGAGAGGAGAGAGGAGAGAGGAGAGAGGAAAGAGAGAGAGAGAAGAGAGCTAAAAATGGGTATCTATCAAAGAAGTAGTTATCGCTTTAAAATAAGAAGAGAGAGGGAAGGATAAGCAAACCAAAGTTTATATTTTTTTTTTATATTTATTTCTTATTTATTAACAAAATTAATAATTAAAAACAAAACAAAAACAAAGGGCTATCTACCATGTTGTCATGTTTGGAAGTAGAGGAAATTTTGCACATGAGACAACCCCATCTTTATTATTTTTATTCTCATTTCATGTCCCCCCTCTTCTTTTTCTCTTTCACTTTTAAGGCTATCTATATCTATATATATATACATATATCCCTTCTCCTTTTTTTCCAACCAGATATTACTAGTCGAGTCAATAATATTATGGTGTAATTATTGAAAAAGTATGACATATCTAACGTTCTAATGCTTTGATATTAGTGGTGTAGTTTTAAATATCCACCTTTTTGTTATTTGTTATTATGTGATTGGATTGCTTAAATTAGAACAACTTCGGGTCTAAACATTGATTTTGACCTTTCATTTTGTAATGTTGGTGTCATAGTGATGCAATAATAATCATACGGCCTTTAATTTAATTTTATTTCTATTTAGAAATAACGGACAACCCCTTTTCACAGTTTAGGCTACTCCCATTTTGCTCGCCACTACCACAAGAATCACTTTTTCTTTCTTTTCCTCTAGCTACTAAGATGTTTCAATGCATGCCAATGAAATCCTCCAAAAAGTCTATGGAATTGGCCCTATCGATGGAATCTCATCATCCATACCTAAGAAATTGATATCATAGTAAGAACTAGCATTCATGTTCATGTTCAAACTCAAACTCAAACTCGGAGCATGATCCTACTAACTAAAGCTTCTCTATTAATTAACTAAAGTTCTACACAAACTTTAAAGTTTGTAGAATCATGCTCTATTTTCAAGATGTTTTCGCTTGAAAGTCATTCCAGCACTGTCCTTCCAAACTACATAACAGGACGTCTACTGAGTATAAAATCTGCTGCTCCTTTACAAACTCACCATGGTTGATTTGAGAGAGATTCAGAATACCTACCAGAAACCATATGCACATAACAGACTATTCTAACCACTGTGCATAACCCTGTAATTTTTCCACAAAACAAGTAACCATTTACTTTGTGTACCCTCCTCCTCTAATCCTCCAGTAATCAATCAACTCTACATTTTACAACAATGTACACGCAGTTTCCAAAAAATCTCACATCTACCCAATGCATGAACAATAAAGAGACTCAATTTGAGATTAAGACAGCCCTGATGATAAAATATTGCTGGATTTCATAACGAACTAGAACAAATTTCAGAAACGAGTTTTACAATGTCATGACAACCAGGCATCAGATCCAGCATTCATGTTTCAACTTCTAATATGTATGCATTACAACAATATACACCTGCCAAATTCTAAATAATCTTCTCAGATAATCTAATTCATGACCAAAAAAGAGACTCAAATTAATACATTGTTGTTATTCTTTATTCAAATTTGAAGTACTCGGGAATGAAAAGGTTAAATGATAATTAGATAACTGATCCAAGACAACGATTGAAAGAAAAAAAAAACATTAAAAAACAATCCAATAAATCACGAACTACTACTACAAAGCGAATCAGGATTGAAGAGGATGGAAATTTCCAAAGTTCATGAAGCCATAAACTATCAAGAGCAAAACTTACCAGCTAAAGACACTCCAAGATTGCTGCAAAAGGCCACAGATATATACATGTAAAACAGACTCAGCACTCTACCATCATACCTTGCTAATCTACCTGATAGTGACAAACTTGTTGGTCCCATGCCTTGCCCAATGGCTTCTTAAATCAATTGGGTTAGAGAAGTTATAGCCTTCAGCTGCTAGTTTCTCCAAGACCTTCTTAAAAGCACCTTGACTCATTTTTCGACCAGCAATTCTTGCACCTCGCCGCTTCTCACTCATGGGCAAAGGATGAACAGATAAACTTGTGGTACAACAAGCTGATTGCCAGCCACCATATCCCCATCTATAACACTGGTGAGGAGTTCCAGTGCAAGAGCATACAGGAATTGGGATACTTGATATATCCATATTAAACCCATTTATAACAAGGTCCAGCTTCTTTTTTGGTGCCTTCACCTGTTGAACTGAAGGATCATTATTCTTGGGCTTTCGAGGCTTCTTTGGATTTGGGGTTTTGGGAGCACCTCCATTCTGTCGTTTCTTCGATTGTTTAGCTCCCTTCTTCACAGATGGTTCTTCAATCCTAAGGACCATTTCATCCCTTGATGTGTCGTGTGGCTGTAATATTGGCAAAGGTTGCGGGGCTGAAGTTTGTGCAAGCAGAGAATAACTTGTATTCGGAGGTAACATATTGAAAAACTTGTTACTTTGATGATTCATCCAACCATCCCTCGCCCAGTTTGTTGGTACTGATTCTTCAGAAACAACAGACTCCCGTGAATGAAATGCTCCATTAATGTTAACAATAGCAGAAGGGTCGCGTCCAGGAAGAAAATGCTTCACACCTCGCTCAGCAATTGTGGATATGAGCTGCAGACCGAGAGGCGGTTTCAAGGATGGTTCATAGTAACCCCAATTACGCATGTTCAACGCATCACCATCCATTGGAACTACAGAGGCAACACAATAAGCAGAGATTAATTACACTTAAGACTCGAGAAACTCCCATGTCCAAAACATATCAACAATAGCATATGAGACCGAGAGAAACCTTGCAAAAAAAAAAAAAAAAAAAAAAAAAAAAAAAAA